ATAATTTAGTATCCGATTTTTTTTATCCGACAAACCCCATTATCAGTTGCATTCCTAGTTATAACTTTGTTGAAAAAATATAAAAAATTTGAAGAAAACAGAGATTACCATTAGTTTTTGTGATTTTCCACTTTCTTCTTCAATATTGTAATTCTCTCTCCAGTAGTTTGTGAAAATTATTCTTTGTCGAATAATTGGGATTAATTCTTTTATCATGTCTGTAGTTAAATATTTAAGAAAATCTTCACTTATTTTATGTTCTAAAAAGTTGAAGAATTAGAACATAATTTTCATCATATATTAAGTATAGCATGTATAGAATATACATATAATTCACTTAAATTAATAGAAAATCTTGTTTAAAATCAAATTTCTGAAAATTCTGCATATCGACTATAAAAGATAAAACAGACAAGCAAAAAATATCTTTACAAATACATTTTTCTTTAAAAAGTACAAACTAAATATTCTTTATTTGAACAAAAACAATATATTTTTCTTCATGTATAGTAATAATCCCCCGAAACTCTCAGTTTCGCGTAAAGGATCGAGGCACGGCAGTATAATACAACTGCTGTCTGAGTCGACCTTCGATAGCTAGATCGTTGCCGAGCCGCGCTTGTGTTGTCGTTCATGTTATAGGCGTAGATAACACATGACAAAAAGTAAGAAAAAAGAACAAAGAATAAAGTAAGAACTTACTTTTGAAATTTTTGATGACATTTTCCAATTCCAGATTTTTTAAAATTTCCTCCATTTTGGAATCCATTCTTCTTTTATATATGAAAATTTGTTTCTTCGCTTGTTTTGCCTTGCTATAAAAAAAAATTTAACAAAGAAAAGTTATCAAATTGTTTAATATAATTGGTTTTACGACATTTTTGCCAAGATGTGCCATTCATTTGTGCAGCGTTTTCTTAAACGTATCGTACGTATCGTGGAATTTCTATACAAATAATTTTGAAGTTAGGTCGAAAAATTCGCAGAAATTCAAGTAACAATAGGCAATGCGTACACTCAGAAAAATGTTTTGTT